TGTGCATCACTGTGACCAGTCTGAATGTTGCCATTTTTTTCTACTTCATGAAATAGGTGGGGTAGGGAGGGGGGAACATGGGAGGAATAGACAAACTCTAGATAGGGCAGAGGGGGAGGAAGGGGTAGGGGGTTAGCAATGATGGTAGAATGTGATGGACACCATTATCCAAAGGTCATGTATGAAGACATGAATTGGTGTGAACATACTTTATATACAGAGATATGAAAAATTATACTGTGTACATGTAATAAGAATTGTAATGCACTCTGCTGTCATTTATTTTTTTTAAATCAATTTAAAAAAAGAAATAGGTGATATGAAATTTAAAAATACACTAGGTGCACACCTGTAATCCCAGCTACTCAGGAGGCTAAGGCAGAAGGATCATAAGTTTGAGGGCAGCCTGAGCAACTCAGCAAGACCTTGTCTCAAAATTTAAAAAGAGCAGGAGATAGAGCTCAATGTGAGTACCCCTGCCAGTGTAATTCCCAGTACCCTCCCCCAACAAAAAAAGAAATTAAAAAATACTCATGGAAACATAAAGCACTTGTTTATTATTATTGCTATAATCAAGGCAAAAATCTCTTAAAACAATCAGCCTTGATAATGGAAATATAATCAGAACCATTACTCATAAATTTACAGTTTGTTCTCTGCTGTTGAGACTTCACTGTTTCATACACACTAACAATAACAAGACCTTGACTACACAAGAGGAAGAAGAAAGAACTTGGAAGTTACAAAGAATGGCTTGATCACTTTCCTAGTTCCTGACTTCAGACTGATCACTTACCCTCTTTGAACCTGTTTCATCATGTGTTTAAAAAAAGTTAGAGAGGGGGCAGAATAACCCTACCCACCCACACAGAGGATCAACTGAGATAATGCAGGGGAGAACATGGAGGAAAGTGTAAACTCTAAAAATTATACAAAAATACAGTATCACTAAGCAAGAAGGGGAAGTGATCATCAATTTATGGAAGCCTGAATGACAGTCACCAAGAATCTTAAATCCTGGGAAATCCTGGGATGTGGCAAAGGACCTTAATGACCAAGTCCCCAGACTAAGGAAGTATCTGCCTTGACAAGCCACTTAATATGGACCCAACTGTAACCTAGAAACACTGTCAGTTTTATTTTACCTTAATATACATTTGTATAGGTAATAATAAAAAGGCTATTACACAACAATTCAGTGAGTTTTAACTAGTTTCAAGAATAATGCATGCAATTACAAATGAGAGGTAGAAAGACACTGTATTAAAGACCTAAAAATACAAACATCATATAAATAAATGTTCAAATTAACTGCTGGAATTTCATACAGATAAATAAAGTAGAAATTACATTACTTTGTCAAAGTAAAGGAAATCCATGTTTGTTTGTTTTTATCAGTACATTAAAATTAGAGTAATGCCGAAGAGCTTCTGCACACTGTCAGTTCAAAATATTTTATGTAAAAGGCTTAAAATAATAGGATTAAAACTGGTGAATGGTTTATTCAAGTATTCAAGCAGGTAAGTAAAAGAAAACAAATAATATACAACATATGAAACATTCCTAAAAGGATGTTAACTGCCTGCTTTTCCATTACAAGCTATTTGGTGAACTGTCAAGATTAACATTAAAAATACACGTTAGGCTGGAGAGAGCTGCCATTTTCCTAAGAGAAAACAAACCTAATTTTTCACTAACTTCATGTAGAAACTCCACATCACTAACAAGCCTTTGATCACCAACTTTGTTTTGGCCCTATGAAAATTCTCAAGAGTATCTCTTGATTCATGATAGTTTTTCTAATACTGTCCAAATAAACCTATTCTTTAATAAACCTAAAGTCACAGGCATCAATGCACATTTTGCATGCACAAGGAAAAATGCAAACAAAGTAAACATCAGCCACTCAAAATATTACTAAGAAGATCTGTAGGTGTAGATAAACAAATAAAAAATGCAAAGATTCACATGAACACAAGTTTTGATCATTTAAAAGTTCAATAGCGATTACATGTGAATTCTGGAAAGAGTATATGTATATAATAAAGTATATGTATATGTATATAATCAAGTAAAATACTTTAAACAAGTCCATTGTGCCTCAATTAGTTTTAAATTGCAAAATCCAATACACAGTTGTTTTAATAAATTAGTGCAATATGAAAGATTTTGGAAGAATTAACGTATGTCCATACTAGATCAAATTGAAGATTTCAAAATTTCTTCCAAGAGCCATCTTTTGCTTCTTCTTAAACTATTTCTTCCTGAGCTGTTGAAAGATGCATGCTCAGGTTCAGACAAACTCACCCCAAACATCAAACTGTCTGACGAGGTGTATATTCTTGCTTGTGTACACCTCAGCAAACCCATGGCATTTCATACATTGCTCTATGAACTGAGTGAAGTGCCACTTGCCTTATTTCATGTTTAATTATCCATAAGAATAAATGATAATTCTAGTTCTAAGGTATGTTTATTTACCAAGTTCAAACAGGGAGCAAACTGGAATACTCTTGCTTCTGCTTCTACAAAGAAAAAGGGAAAGGGGAGTATCTTCTCCAGTAAGGCAGATTTTCTACAAATGTAGTTTTTGGATTGTTTTTCCTTTTTGAAATTGCTGCTTGTTCTTTGGTAGTCACCAGTTAAACTAGTTTCCTGGGGATGGGTGACAGAACCAAGCTGTAATCTCAAATGTATCACCTCATGCTCCCACGCCGGTCCATGGACATGCCTGCTTCTCACACAGTCGCAGTGCTACAGCAGAGTGCTGACAATCTTCTTTCAATACTAGATTTATCTAAAAATAATTTTTTTAAAAATCAGAATTAAAAGTACTTATATTTTCAAAACCAAGGAAAGAACAACTAAGGGGAAAAAAATCACTAACTCTATTGGAATCATTGTCTCTTTTCAATCTTTTCCCGGTAATAGAATATATTTTCTTCTATCTGGTAATAGTTTAGATATATGATTTTTAACTTAGCGGTAAAATTCAGAGAAGCACATCGCATAGAGAACATTTGGATTTTAACATCACCTTCTCCTTGAAAATCAGATTGCTGGTCTTATATCTTATAAGTAGTAATATCCCCTGGAATCCCATCCATCTCTAGTACATATCCAATACAGTATCATTCTCCATTACATATTCCATACAGTATCAATCTGCAATACATAGGCTCTTTATAGGATTCTTCAGTCACTAAGCCCAGGATGCTTAAGAGTGTTATGTTCAACAATAAAAACAACATTCTCCTACATATATGAGCACATACTTGCTAAAAAGGGATGCACAGTAGAAATCTAAAAACCATCTGTAATTTACACGCATAATCTCTAATCTTCACAACTCTGCAAGGTAGGCATTGCTATCTGCATCATATAGTATAAGGAAAATAAGATAATAGAAAGGCTAAATGGTTTACTCAAGTTTGGAAATCCAAGATTCAACCTAGGCAGTATGTTTATAAACCCTAAGCTCTTTTGTTTTAATATTTTTTAGTTGTAGGTAAACACAATATCTTTATTTCATTTTTATGTGGTGCTGAGGTTTGAACCCAGTGCCTCATGTATGCTAGGCCAGCACTCTACCACTGAGCCACAACCCCAGCATCCTCCTAACCTGTTTTTATTATATATTGCAAGAGACTACTAAATTGCCATCAATAAATATAATGGTCTTTCCTTATCCCCAACGGATGTATTCCAAGACCCCCAATGAATGCCTGAAAGCATCAAGAGTATCAAACTATCTATAAGCACTGCAATACTAAGACAAGAGATCTGATAACCAAGAGAGCTACTAAGTGACTAAAAGGTGGGTGGCATATCTAATAGCATGGATAGGCTGGACAAAGGGAAGGAGCAATTTATCACACTATGGATTGTTTGTTTCTGAGTTTTCCATTTAATATTTTTACACCTTGGTTGACCTTGGGTACTAAAAATGTGGAAAGCAAAACTATAGACACTGGAAGACTACTGTGTAGGTCAGCTTACATTTATGTACATTTTCAATATCTGCAGGGTCTTGTAGAATCTTAGTTAGGCCTTCCAAGAGAAGGGCTGCCTTATGGTAACGATAAACAATATCTTCAGTCTGCTGAAACATCTCATCCAGGGCTGCAGACTGAACCTGGAACCAGTCAACAAAAAATTCTCAAATTTTCCAAGAAAATACAAATTCATCTTAGCAATGCAGCTTTTAAATAGCATCTACCTAAAATTAACACATTTTGATGAAATGCTATAGCCTACTAAACTATACAGAACTTAGATTCATCAGGATGAGCTACTTAAAGTAAACTTCATTAAAAGATTGTTACAGTAATATGATGAAATGATGTTAAAAGTCTAGTCAAAAGAATTTTCAGGTATGTGTAGTTATTCATTCATAGATAATTACTGAGCACCTACTAATGCCAGGCACTCAGCATATAAATAAAGGAGTGCTCACAGTCTAAAGGAAGACATAAGTCTGCAAAACATGCATTTCTTCTTTTCTTTGGTACCAGGCATTGAACCCAGGGGCACTTGACCATCAAGCTACAGCTACAGCCCTTTTTTGTATTTTATTTAGAGATGGGGTCTCCTGAGTTGCTTAGGGCCTCTCCATTGCTGACACTGGCTTTGAACTCAAGATCCTCCTGCCTCAGCCTGAGTTGCTGGGATTACAAGTGTGTGCCACCATGCCGGGCCAAAATATGCATTTCTAATTCTAAGGGACAAGTCTTATTTCAGGAGAAAGCATCAGGATGGTACAGAATACACAGGAAGTCCACCTAACCCTGCAAGAGGATATTAGGGGAAGCCTCCAGAAGATATGTTTAGGCTGAATCATAAAGAGGAGCAAGAATGAGCTGAGTAATGGGAAAGGTGGGAAGAGGTCTTTGCAGAAAGAGAGAATGGTAGTTATTCATACGGGTTTTCCCAATAGCATTCTTATGTTCTCTTTGATCACTAAATGCCAGAACTCTCAGTAATCTAGTATTCTAATTGTTAATATGCTCTTTCAAAAAATAATTTAAAGATATTTACAGTCAACCAAATAAAATAGATAAAGAAAATCAGAGACATGAAAACGAAAGAGAAAAATATAACTAAAATGTAACTGTTGATACCTCTAAGCTTCCTAAGCAACTAGGGCAAAAAGAAGAACCTACTTAAGTTACAGGGCTATTATTATCAGAAAGGAAAGAAGCATTATAATTCCTTATGAGAGGACATTTTTCTGGGCACAAAATTCTTAAAAAGTCTTTTTTTAGGGGGAGGGAGGTTGCTGGGGATTGAACCCTGGGGCACTTTACCACTGAGTTACATCTCCGGACCTTTTTATTTTTTATTTGGAGATAGAATCTCACTAAGTTGCCCAGGCTGGCCCTGAACTTGAGATCTCCTCATTAGTTGGGATCTTTTTCCCTGTTAAGAATACTGAATAACAGAATGTATCCTCATCAGAAACACTCTCTTCATTGGCCTTAGGAACTCTTAATTCAGTGTAAAGTAATACAATGAATATTATTCCTATCAACAGTTTAGAACAATAAAATATATATTATTACTGTCATTTTATATTTTTGTTATTTTCATGTGACTATTCATTTTAATGGCTTTTGAAATAAGACAAAGAGTATAGTAATAGTACAATTCAAAGTACACAAATAGGTAAAATCAATTACATTACTATGGTTAAAAAAAAGATTAGTCAAAAATAAACTTTCCCCACTTAATCACTTATTTAATAGCTTCTATTTTTATCTATGCTTCAGAGCAATTTTTCCCCAGTAGAAAGAAAACAAATTATTTTTTAAATTATTTTTGATATTATAACCAGACAATTAGAAAAGTAGATTTTACTTGATGCTTATACTTTAATAAGGTCAGTTAAGTGGAATCTGTGCCCATGAATTTTTATATAGCAGTATATTTTCTAACAGTTTTACTAAGCTAAAATTTCTTAAATAATAGAAAATGTAGAAACAGGTCCAGTTAATGTTTTTAAATGCAAACTACTAAAAGATGACACCATGTCTAATCTTAGCAAAGTTTAGCAGGAGCTATAAAAAAATTCTGGGCTGGTGATACAGTGATAGAGCACTTGCCTAGCACAAGGCCCTGGGTTTAATCACCATACCACAAAAATAAAAAGAGAAAAGAGAATTTTATCAAAAGTGGTAGCCAGACTTAAGGAAGTTCATTAAATAAATTATATTAAATGTTACTTCAATGTTGGTAAGGATGGGCGTGGTGGCACATGCTTGTAATCTCAGCACCTTGAGAGGCTGAAGCAGGAAGATCACAAGTTCAAAGCCAGCCTCAGCAATGGAGAAGCACTAAGCAACTCAGTAAGACCCTGTCTCTAAATAAAATACAAAATAGGGCTGAGGATGTGGTTTAGTAGTTGAGTGCCTGATACCCTCAATCCCCAATACCCTCCCCCTACCAAAAAAAAAAAAAATGTTAGAGAACTTCAATTCCTCCTTTTGTAGGATGTTATCACAATAATAATTACAATACTCTGGATTCAAAAGATAATCTTAGAGATAAGTACTGCCGTGCTATACAATATTAAACCTTAAAAAAGCTTACCATTTCCACAGCACAATTATAGATGAGTTTCTCTGCAGTTACACTGTTGATTTCATCAATAAATCTCTGTTTGTCAGAGAAGAAGCGAGTCAGCTTTTCTGTGAGTTTTTTGCACATGGTGATGCAGAGTTTATATCGATCGTTCAGATTTTTGACAACTGGAAACAAAGTTGAGATGAGAACTAATTTTAATTTTCCTCTAGAAATGATGACACAGTGACACACACCTTTTGTGCTGATTTAAGGAAAGTAACATTATATGATCACTGAAAGGAAGGATCGGAAATCCGGTTCTATGATCTCTATTTCAGTATGAAATGACAAAATAAAGCCCTTACAACCTTTCTGTATCAAATACATGTATCAAAAACAAAACACCAGCATCTTTTTCCCTATTAGGATACTGAATAGCACAGTGTCTCTCTCTCCATTGGACAGGAAGGGACGAACTCCAGGACTCCTAAAGCCACAGCTGCCATACCTTGTTTCACCGCTGAGGATGGGCTCAGCTTCCCGGACTTGATCTGAGCTTTGGCAAGATGCAGGGAAGCTGCAAGCAGCTGTGCTGCTTTCATGTATAACACCAGCTGTTCTACCCGCCTGTACCAGGAAGACAGGAATAGAGAGTTACCTTGAGAACCAACCCACCAGACTTGGGGCTCTAATATCAGGCCACCATTCAAATATCCTTTCTATAAGCATATCCTCCTCCTAGTTTTTTAATGCAAATATAACCCCTGAAGGGAGAAGATTTGACATGAAGACAGATGTGTGAACTTTGACTACAATAGAAATGCTCAGATAAAAATCCACACCACCTCCCAATAAAGGCAAGGCTTAAAATTATAAAATTCTCTTGGCTCATATAGTGGCATCTTACACAATGAAGTAACTTAGAGATTCCTTTGAAGATTTTAATAATATTTGACCTTCAGTAGATGACAATGCCAGCAGCTCAGGCACAAGGTTACAGAAAGCATGAATATAGCAATGAAATGACAGGCGGTGGCACGTACCCCCAGTCTTTGCTCAACTGGCTGATCTGGTCCACAACCACACTCTCTTGAATCTGGTACAAGGACACAGCAGATGTGCACAGCTCAGGGTTCCCCCCCCTCACAGCTGTTAGGTCTAGCACACACTCCGTGAACATCAGCATCACATTCAGATGGCGTAAGGTATCTGTGTGTTCTCGCTGCAGCAAAGACACTGTCTTAGAACATTCTAGATAAAGAATTTCTATATATAGCTGGGTATGGGGGCACACAACTGCAATTCCATCTACTTGAGAGACTGAAGCAAGAAGACAAGTTTGAGGCCAGCTTGGATAACTCAGAAACAAACAAACAAAAGGACTGGAGATAAAGTTATGCAATTCACTGGTAGAGTGCTTGCTTAGGCCCTGAGTTCAATCCCCAGTACAGGGAAAAAAAAAAAAAAGCTTGACTGTATTTTTTCTATATGTAGTGTTTTTCCATACTTATGAATGTCAGAATGATGAAAGGAAATTGACATTTTTAAATTTCAAAAAGCTGGTAAGAAAACAAAAATGAAACCAATGTGGGTTTGTGCAAGTGTTTATGTATGAGAGCACTCACTTAAGTTAGCTCCAAAAAGAGCAAGACACTGTGCTTTTACCAGAATTAAAACAAAAGAATTTTTTTTAAAAAAAGATCAAATCAATATATTCATGACAAACAGATATCAAGACTGCAAGGACAGCTACTTGGGAGGGTGAGACAAAAGGTTCAGAAGTTCGAGGCCAGCTTGGGCAACCTATGAAACGCTGTCTCAAAACAGAATTTTTAAAAATGGGCTGAGGATACAATCTCATCAGTGCTCAGTAGGAAAATACCTGCCTAGTCTATGTGAGGCCCTGAGTTCAATTTCTGGTACCAAAAAAAAAAAAAAAAAATTAAATGCAAGGATACTCTGCACACTAAAATCACTTTTTTAAATTTTTTGAGATGGGATCCCTGCTATGTTGCCCAGGTCATCTCTTATCTCCTGGGCTCAAGGAATCCTCCTAAGTAGTTGGCATTACAGGTATGTGCTAGTTTGCCCAGCTCTTAAATCACAATTCTTCATAGTTCAGTGAGTTGTTATTGTTATTTTAGTTTCTGTTGATTTTTCAGTCAATAGTAGATTCCTAATACCAAAGCTCTAATTTTCTGTGTTCTTTTCAGTTAGTTAAAGAGAGGAGCATAGGAAGATAGAACAGCAATCTGAGGGATGCTGTAATTTTAAAATATGTAGTCAATTTTTGCTTTGAGATTTTTGTTTAGTTATAAATGTATTTTGAAATCTTAAGCATGGCCTAAAAGTTAATTGAATAACTTACTCTCCTTTTATGATTAAAAGAAGAGAATATTTTTCTTAAATACAAGAGAATAAACCATTCAATTTTTGAGTCTCTCTGCTCTGTGACAGCATATTGTCAACTATATGCTCCAACATGTTCAAACATATACTGGAATGTAATTTATATCTAATTGGATGTAGACTAAAAAAAAAAAATACTCAAGTTTATTTTTTCCAACTTTAGATTGGACTAGATACATTTTCAAAATTACTACCACAAAATCACTACTAAAAATTTGCATGCAATATTTTGTAATTTTTATGTGAAAAGCTAATTTTTATTCATACAAAATATTAATATTAGAGATCCTAAATGGAGAAAAAATTTGCTCCTTAGTTGGCCCAGAAAGTTGATCATTTTAATTTAAACCTCAGGCTAAGTTAAGACCTCAGGCATTCAGGGACTGAGGACAGACACATCATCCTACAGAGTGTTTTCCTTGAGTCAGGATTGAGGAACTAAGCATACACAGCTCTGAAATCATAAAACATACTCTGGTTCTGGATTTACGCTCACATATTTCAGGTTATATACAATATGTTTCTTTTCTGGAGAAGTGGACCCACAGAGAAAAGGTACTAATCTATAAACATGAGCATTCAGTCCATTTGGCAGGCATATTACTTTGTTAATGAACAAAATATGTCATTACTGGTTTACTATTATTGTTAAAAATTTTAAATTAGCTGGGCACCTGTAATCCCAGACTCAGGAGGCTGTGGCAGGAGGACGGAGAGTTCAAAGCCAGCCTCTGGAACTTATCAATGTCCTAAGCAACTCAGTGAGACCCTGTCTCTAAACTTAAAAAATACAAACAAGGGCTGGGGATGTGGCTCAGGGGTTAAGTGCTCCTGGGTTCAATCCCCAGTGCCAAATAAATAAATGATGTTTTATTTTTAAAATTTAAAATTTGTAATTTAAAATAATAAATCAATTATGCCTATTTATTTTTATCAAAGAAAACTTTGAGAATAAAAGCTTACTTTTTAGGACACAGATTATGCTTTAAAATATTTTAAATAGTAAATAAACTTTGGTTAAAAAATTGAGAACACATAATGTGTCACTTCCTATGAACATGGTTGCTATGGATGAGTGTAGCAACATTATTTTGAAAATATGATATTAATGTTTTTCAAATAGAAAAGAAAGAAGCAGACATGGTGGTGCACGCCTGTAATCCCAACAGCTTGGGAGGCTGAGGCAGGAGAATTACGAGTTCAAAGCAGCCTCAGCAACTTAGTGAGGCCCTGTCTCTTAATAAAATATAAAAAAGGGCTAGGGTCATGGCTCAGTGATTGAGTGCCTCTGGATGTCTACAATCTCAGCAGCTTGGGAGGCTATGGCAGGAGGATTACAAGTTCAAAGGCAGCCTCAGAAACTTAACAAGACCCTGTCTCAAAATAAAAAATTTTAAAAAGAGCTGGGGATGTAGCTCAACAATAGAATGCCCCTGGGTTCATGTTCCCAGTATGGGGGCAGGGGGAGGAGCATAATTTCAGAACTGCTCAATTTATTTTATCCTTTTGTCACCACTAGAACACTCACATCATATCAACATTATATTAACACACCACTGTAGTCTTTTCTCTACCTCCATCAGTGTCTCCTCTGGCAGTTCAGGGGCTTCAAAAGTGATAAGCCCCTCTAGGCTGGGGGGTGAAGCACCATAAGGCACATATCTCAGGCTGGGAGCTGCCTCTGCTCCTGGTGGGGAAGAGCCCAAGCCCGGGCCAGGTGGGGAGCCCACACACACACGGCCACTTGCAGAGCACAGAGAGCCTCCTGAGCTGCTGGACCCCACTGCAAGGAAACATAAAACACAGCACAGCGTCCTGAGTTAGGTCACAGAGGGGCTTTTACACCCACTGCTCCTCTTATTTACTGAACAAAACCTACTGAGTAATAAAGTTCAAACAAAAGTCCCTTATCCTCACCCAACTTTACCATATGAATAGTTTTTAGTTTTCCATGTTCACTTACAATCCTTGTCTATGTGTATATTTTATAGATATCAGAGCTAGTTTTCTTATATTCTACTCTAAAAAATTTGTACCATAAACATTTTTCCTGGTTGCTCCATCAGTTTCATAATTATAAGATTCAATAGATGTATAGTAATTTACAATCTTTATATATGTGAAGTTTATCTGGAGTCATTTATACTAGTTCTGATTTTTTTCATGTTACAAATATCACTGCAATGAAATTAACCAAGTTTTTCCTTCTTTCAAATGACCTCTATGTGATAAATACTCAATAGTGGTATTATAAACAAGAAAGGAATTACCACAGATGAATATTATAAACATTTTTACAGCTTTTCCTAAGAATTGCCCCATTATTTTCTATAGCAGCTGTAAGCACATATATCCCACTAAAGCTTGACAAGACTGGGCATTAAGTTTTTAAAAATGTCACTACAATTAACAGATATAAAATGTTACTGCTTTAAAATGGCATTTTCTTACTTATCGTATAAAATTATAAATATTTATAAAACTAAGATTTTAGTTCTACCTATCTTTTTTTGTTGATAGTAATATCCTGATTTAGCAACTTATTTAGAATAAGAGAACTTAAATAACACAAAGCACAATATATATGATGGTATTATATACTGACTTTGAGTCCAATCTAAATACTTTCTTAATTTCTCTATTAATAAACCACTTATAGAATATGGATAATAATAAAAATATATTAGCCTATCTAAACATAATGTGTCACTTCCTATGAACATGGTTGCTATGGATGAGTGTAGCAACATTATTTTAAAAATATAATATTAATGTTTTTCAAATAGAAAAGAAACAGTGGGACCCAAAGTTCAAAAATAAAACTTAAGCTTCTAGAAAAACTAAACAAACAATATACTAAAATAAGATTTCAAAATATAAGTTGAGAATCACTATGGTTAGACAGCTGCTTCTTCATGGATCAATTATTTATATTTTATATTATATATATTACATATGAACATACAAGCATAATGGATATTTCTAGATATACACACACACACACACACACACACACACACATATATACACACACACATAATGTAGCACTTTTACTTTACAAAGTCCCCTCATCCAAAATGCTGCCTCATTTAGTACTTATAACCCTTGTTCACTGGCAAAGAAACTGAAGACCAAAGAAATTCAGTGACTTTAAGTTGTAACACTACATTACCCTCAGAATACCACACTCCAAATACTTGCCACAGATTGAATAGGACAAACATTTCTCACCTGAGGTGGTTCTTGTTCGTAGGACCATATGGGTACAAGTGGGGCCTGTGGCGCTGTGTGGAGGAGACCCCACAGTGAAGAGGACAGCCCTAGAATTCGTAGCGGTTCCTGCGGGTGGTGCCAGTACAACACCACAGGCTCCTGCAGGAGCTACAATAAAGAGTTTATAAAATGTCAGGTTACCTTGACAGTGTATTTACTATCTACAGGTGGAATTACAGGGAGACTTTAACTTTTGTATTAGTTTTCCTTAGCAAAAGCATTTATTACTCAAAATCAGAAAATTTGATGCCACACTTCCATTAAAATATTATAATCTCAGATGTGAATCTTCTTCATACCAAAGTCTAATATTTAGTTACTTTTGTTTTGTTGTAGTGCTGGAGATTAAACCCAGGACCTTGCACACACTAGAAAAACACTTCACCACTGAGCTACATCCCCAGCCCTTTTTGTTGTTTATTTCAAGACAGGGTCTCACTAAATTGCTGAGGCTGGCCTTGAACTTTACAATCCTCCAGCCTTAGCCTCCATAGTCACTGGTATTACAATTGTATGCCACCTTGCCTGGATCATCTCCAGTCCTTCATAGTTACTCCTGAATACTTCTAAAATACATGAACTGCCAAGTCATACCTGTTGAAGATAATTTGAAAAAGCAGAAACTGGGAACTGGGAATACAAATGTGAAGTCAAAGTGAAATGGTGATCAGAAATATCTATTGTAATACAGCTTCAGAAAAACACAAAAAGTTGAGACAAGTATAGAACAAAAACCTAACATCTGTCAGGATTTGAAAACAAGGAGGACAGATGTCAAAGGGACTGAGGGACAAAGTTTGGGCTACATGAAGAGTTGGTGAAAAGCCCTTCATCTATCAAACAGGCAGAATCAATAAAATTATTGATTTTTACATTCAACCATTACATTTCTGGGAACACAGAATGGAGGCCTTTTAATTTAATCATAAAAGGCACTTAACAAAATACAGAACAAGATTTCCTCAGTGCCCATCTTATCTATAGTACCCAACAAAATAAGAGCACATATCAACAGAGGTAGAAAGAGCTCATAAAGCTCAATTCACAATAGTTAAATTATGGAACCTACCTAAGCCTTTCAACAGATGAATGGATAAAGAAAATGCAGTACATAAAAACAATGGAATATTACACAACCATAAAGAAGAATGGAATTATGGCATTTGTCAGTAAATGGATACAACTAGAGACTATCATGCCAAGTGCAATAAGCTCATCCCCAAAACGCAAAAGCCAAATGTTCTGATATGCAGATGCTGACTCACAATAGGGGTGGGGGGAAGAGGAGTTTACCAGATTGGACAGGAGGGAATTGAGGGAAAGGAGGGGGATGGGAATGGGAAAGACAGTAGAATGAATCAGACATAACTTTCTTGTTCATATATGAATACACAATCAGTGTAATTCCACATCATGTACAACCACAAGAATGGGAAATTATACCCATATATGTATGTCAAAACACATTCTACTGTTATATATAACTAAAAAGAACAAATAAAAATATAAGAAAAAAGTGGGAGGAAGCTCATAAAAATGTCATAGGGAGCAAGGAAACAGTAAGCAGAAATTAAAGACCACCTACTGTTACAAAAGATGTACCTTCTCTTTACTTAACGTTCCAAGAATTTATTTAAGGGATGTTCATGGGTAGATTTTAAGATCCAGTGACACAATTTTTTTCTGAAGGTCTCAAAGTTTTCCTATTTTCAATAGTTTTTGTTTTATAAAACAGAAACTTCATGGTTAGAAAACAGAAGTTTGTAATTTCAAATGATATAACAAAGTTCATGTGCCAAAAAAAAGAGAATACAAATTATCAAAGATGCATTTTATGCCTAAATATTCTTTAAGGAAAACTTAGTTTCACATCTATTAACCTGGACTTAAAACTATAATGCACACTCACATGGAACTAGTAAGCTCTGTACAATTCAGATTTATATGTAAAAGAGAATAAGACATAATATGGTCACACTCAAACAAGCTGTTTTCCAAAACTATTCTAACTCCTGGTGACTTGGTGACTTTTGGCAGAAAACACTTAGAAAAAAAATGATTCCATATTCTCAGTGTGAAGAGCTCCACAACCAGTTCCTCAGTGAAACAACTGTACTGATGAAATGTTTTTAAAAACAACCACTTAAGGCTAGGCGTATAGTTCAGTGATAGAATCCTTAGCCAGCATGAGAGAGACCCTGCTTCAAATCCACAGCACTGCCCAAAATAACAACTTAAAGTGTCTATAAATTGTCCTTGAAGACATATAGGAAGAGACATGTATTCAAGAAAATTCATGTCTACACACCCAAGCACAATGACACATGCCTGTAACCCCAGCAACTTGGGAGGCTGAAGCAGGAGGATAATAAATTTGAGACTAGTCTCAGCAACTTAGCGAGACCCTCAGCAACTTTGTAAAATCTTGTCTCAAAAAATAGGTAGGTAGCAAATGTGCTCCTGGATTCAATCCCCAATAAGCTGTAAAAGAAAAGAAAAGCAGCACAAACACATCTCAGCAATAATTGTGTCTGGCCTCATACTCACAGGGTGCAAGTTCTGGCCCAGGCCAGTGGACTAGAGCCCTTAAACACGCACTTCTGCTTATTTATCTAGCAGAGGTAAATCAAGAAGACCAGAGGCTTCCATCTCTGTCTAGCACCAGGCTTACAAAGCTGGGGTGTCCCTCCAAGACAAATGAGCAACTGTTATTCCTAGCTCCAGAGCAGTGGTAGAGAGGTATTCCCCAGTGCTGGGGAGGCAGGGAACAGAGAATTTGGAAGCTCTCTCCAGGGCACCTGACTTTGTTTGAAATAGGAGATCACCTAAGGGTGCTATCAAAAAGGATGAAGATTTGGGTGATGAGCAAGTAAAAAGAAGCTGGTAACTCCATGAGAGCAACAACTAAATAACAGACCAGCTGGAAGTTTATCAGAACCAGGGAAAGATAGCCAAGAACCCTCCTGGCGGTACATACAAGGTTCAAATACTATCCTCAAAGACTATTCCTACAAATTGGCTAGAATTTAACTCGACCTGTGAAACAATTTATCTCCCAGGGCACTGTTAAAAACAATAAAGCAATCAACTGGTAATTAGTGGAGGCAAACAGTTGAGTGTGATACCATGAGAGGTAAGAGATCAGAGAACATAAAGAATCCTGCTAGAATTGTGAAGAATGGCCAGGTAGCTAAGTGGTAGACTACCTACTGTGTCTAACATGTGTTTAAGTTCCTGGATTCAAATCCTAACACTGAAAAACAAAACCCGAAATTACTGTCTACTTAGCCAAGGTTGTATCCTTTATGGATTGACATCAGGCTGCATAATGAAAGGCAAACAGACTTCACCGAAATAGTCCACCATGACTACACAAATAAGAAAGGAAAAACCTAAGCTGGGGTGGAAGAGAGCCACACTTAGAATTACTACAAAATATTACATAAAATGTTCAGTTTTCAACAAAAATTATGATACAAACAAGTTATTAGGGGCTGGGGTTGTGGCTCAATGGTAGAGTGCTCACCTAGCTTGTGCAAGGCCCTGGGTTCGATCCCCAGCACCACATAAAAATAAATAAAGGTATTTTTTAAGTTATTAATAAAGTATAATCCTACACAGAAAAAACAGAAACTATCTGAAGTCTAAAATGTCAAACTAATCAAAGACTATTTTAAACATGTTCAAATATTGAAAGGAAATCAGGCTTTAAAAAGTAAAGCAGCCAGACATGGAGGCACATGCCTATATTCCCAGCTACTCAGGAGGCTAAGAGCTTTGGCAGCTTTGTGAGACCTTGTCTCAAACAAAAAAATAAATTTTAAGGGGTGTAGCTCAGTGATACAGTGCCCCTAGGTTCAATCCCTAGTACCACAAAAAAAAATAAAAATAAAATAGAAAGTAAACGTATGTATGATGATAATGTCTCATCATTCAGAAAAAATAGAAATTATTTTTGAAGTAGAAAGTCTGGAATTTAAAAATACAGTCATCTTCCCTTATCCACAGTTTTGCTTTCTGTAATTTATTATCAGTCAATTGTCCAAAAATGGAGAATAAACAGTTCATAAGTTTCAAACGGCTCTCCATTCTGGGAAGTATGACGAGATCTCATGTTGTCCAGTCTAAGATGTGAAACATCCTTTTATCCAGCATATCCAGAGTGATATACTACCCACCCATTAGTCAATTAACGGTTATCAAATTCACTGGTGCAGTATCACAGTACTTGTGTTCAACTCTTATTTTATTTAAAAGTGACCCAAAAGTGAAAGAGTAGTCATGCTGGCCAAAGAGAAGCCATGACGTTCTTCTTTCAAGAAGAATGACTATACACCAAACCCCCAGCCCCTGCCAAAAAAAACAAAACAAAACAAAACAAAAAAACACTGAAATAGCAAAAGAGAGAACCATGTTTCACATTTTCACATAACTTTTATTTGTTATAATTGTTCTGTTTTATTACTGTTATGGTAAATCTCTTACTGTGCCTACTTTATAAATTAATCTTGGGTATGTATACATAGGAAAATGGGACACATGGGGTTTGGTACTACCTGAAGCTTCAGGAATCCACTAAAGATCTTAGAATGTACCCCCAGCTGCAGATAAGGGGAGACTACTATATAATAACATAAAATGAAATTCACTATAGGGCTCAAAAGCAGATTTCAACTGGCAGAATAAAGAATCTCTGAATTTAAAGGCAGATCAATGAGAACTAGGTAATCTGAAAAACAGAGAAAGAGAACATAGTATAGTTGACCTCTGAACAATATGTAGTTTGTGGGGCGGCAGAGCACCAACTCTCACATAGCTGGAAATCTGAGTGTAACTCCTGACTCCTCCCAAACTTAACTAGTAATAACCTGCTATTGACTGCAAGTTTTACTAATAATATTAACAGTCAACTAACAAATATTTTGTACATTACATGTATTATATATGATGAATAATATGTAGGAATGACAAGAGATTGCTTTGTTGTTTTTTTTTTGAGAAAGAGAATTTTTTAATATATATTTTTTAGTTTTCGGTGGACACATCTTTATTTTATTTTTATGTGGTGCTGAGAATCAAACCCAGCGCCTCGCGCATGCCAGGCGAGC